TGTAAACCAAAGGAAAAGCACATCATATCCTTATCATAGGCGATTTCTACCTACATTGTTTAGAAACCCCTGCTAGGAAAAGATAAAACTTTAAAGTCCATCTGCGAGAGTTGGTAACCACTGTTCCAATTCATAAGCACGTCATTTTGCCCATTCGTTTAAGAACTGGTAACAGACATCTGCGTCGGATCTAGTGTTTACCAGCGACGACCACATGATTAATGTAATGGTTGTAGACTGCATGGGGATCGAAGTGACCATGCAGTCATTTGTCGTAACTCCATCTGCAAAGCAGAATATCGGAATGAGTACGCTGATGTAGTGCGCACTAGCTTGGAAGTGTCAAATTGGTCGTTCTTCACCGAAATTGGTCGTTCCTCCCGGAAGTTGCCTGGCTCGAATTCGTCAACAAATTAAATCAACTTCCTACGAATGCTTCATAGACGAAGGTCTGCCTTGGACCCAAAGCCGTTTCTTTCTTATAGAGTATAACCCAGAAATGGATACTAGTATGCAAAGCAGCATGGCGGGTGTATAGAGAGAATTGGGATAACAACGAAACCCAACGTAACCACTGCACTCAACTACTCAGGGAATACAGATTCGCGTAACAGCATAACATGGCGAAAACTTTCAAGCCAACCACAGACTTCCGTACAACATGTCAATGGCCTTCGAAAGATGATGCAGGGAAACCTTCTACACCGAACGGGTGACGGTCCAACACAAATTGTTATAAAAACAGCAAATGCTTTGCGGAGGCGATATGCTCCCATCTTTCAGTGTATCGTGCCATCAAGTAATCTTCCAGCATTCTTCCTCCCGCCACCAGGACTCACCCACAGCTCTTTCACCGCTGAAGCTGTATTACAGAAGCTGACTTCTCTGCGCAACCACAGCTCTCGGGGGGGGGGGGTACCATTCATCAAGAAGTACTGGGAACAGCAACAAGACTACTAGCAGAAACTCTAGCTCAGTTCCTTGTGTTCAGACCCGAACCAGATTCCTGCCATGGGAAAAATTTGTAAAATACCTCCTTTTCACCAAGGCGAAAACGTAACTAAGACCTCAATCTACCGCCCAGCATTCCTTCTTCCAGTACTATTTATGGTAATGCGATCCATCCTCGTCAATGTATTGGTGCGTTATCTGGAAAATTGCAACCTTGTTGGTTTCGACCAATAGGGCTTCCATCGACAGGGATCGCGCTTAATGAAATTTGTAATCGTATGCATTGGTGGGACCGGAGCAGCTGACGCTGGAGGGGATGTTGACGTGAACTATTTGGATCTGTCGAAGGCACTCGATCATTTAAATCATCGGATTCTCATTTCCTAGCTCCGAAAAATAGGTATTGGAAAACTTCACTTAATCCGGGTCGCCCACTTCCTCATTCAACGACAATTAGTGGTCAGATTTCGGAGTTATTTATCTCGCTCTATACCAGTCGAGTGTGATGTGCCTCACAGCTCAGTTCTAGGGCCACGAATAATTTTGATATTTATTACTAACCATACACTAACGATTGCTTCAGGTTTCCTATTTTTGCCAACGACATCAATATACTGCTCAGGATTCATGCGGATTCCGAACACAATTTGCCTCAGTGTGACCTAGGCATGGTACATCAGTGATCAGCCAAAATCTGCTGCAGTTCAACGTGACTAAATACAGGGTATGCTCTATACGACACAAGCGCACCTGCAAATACAGGCTAAGAACGCAAGTACTGCAACAACTTCTGTCGAACGCGACCTGGGCGTGCTGGTTCTGGATAACTTGTGTTGTTCCCGGAAGTCCGAAAAGGCATCGAAGGCTGGCAACCAACATGTCGGGCTGATGAGACGGACCTTCGTACATAAGGACATCCTTACACTCCTACGGATGCTCAGTGCGTAATTCCACCACCAAGTCGAATAAGCAATTCAGACCTGATGTCTGCAACACCATCTCACTGTTTTGCAGGAGTGCCAGCGTCAGGCTCCGGTGTATGTCATTGAAATGCATACTCTTCCACACAACAGAGGGTGTAACTTTTGGGAGTATTCAGTGGACAGCATCACCGATTACTAGGCAGCCTGATAATGCCCCCGTCAATTCCGTGCAAACCAAATCACATGTACTGCTCTTTACTGCAACTCAGCAGTAACACAAACTTGTGAGGTCATCCCTTGCAACGAACAGAAAGGTACAGCCTTAATGTCGCGTGAGTTTTTTCCTATTCACGCGTCACTCGAAGAGCGCTGTCTCCGAATCGGTCGTTTCTGCGCCGACAGTATCAATATTTAAAAGACCGTTGGAAGACGCACTGAATCACTTACATTTTGTTACTTAGCACTCCGTCCTACATCTGGGAAATACCTTGAATTTGTTTTTTGTCCCCTAATGGATCTGCTAAACTACGTGCAGTGTAGGACCATTGCAACAAAATTACTAAGTGCATTTCTTCACTAGTATTTTTCGGAAACCCACCACACTGCTAAATGGAGCATGCAAAGCAGTGCTTCTTAACTTGTATAAGTTCCATGTTTATTGAGGACTGTATTGCTTCTTTACAGGTCCTCTTGTTGAGTAAGATTTTCAGAGTACAAGGCACCAAGTCAATAGATGGTTGGAAGGAACTTTCCAGTAGACTGTATGACAATCACCCAATCGCCCGCAGCTTCTTTGGCTAACGAGACAGCTGAACGTTGCTACGCACCTGTTAAATTTATATAACAAACCGGAAGAGCTATGAATAACGCTATAATTTTAAATCACTTATAATCCACTTGGAATAAATGAAACAGTAGGGCAATATGATGCGTAATCATAGTTGCATTATACCGGTAGGTTCCGCGCCTGTTTATAATATCACCTCGAACCCCCACCCCCAGCAGACCATGCACCACTCCTAGTGGGGTCATATGTTTGAAGCCGGAAGAGAGCCACATCATCATTATCTCCGCTCACTGTAATAAACCACCGATCTATAGTTGGCCACATTTTACTTAGCACATGTCCTGACCCATTTTGATCTCGAGTGTTCCAATCTACCAACAAGATGCGCTGTCCAAATAATTGTCTACTACGTACCAGCGAAATCATTGGTAAATTAAGTTCAACGAGTATTCAGTTACTAACCTATGAGGAGAACATGAACGACTGTGAACTCTCGGACGGCAGGTCAGAATGAGAGAAGGAGATTTGTCGGTTTACAAAGCATCACGATTGCGTAGAATGACACGAACAAACTAACTGAAGGGTGGTCATGTCGGCTATGATACAATATACTAAGTCGTAGAAAAGGAAGAACCAACGTTCAGAGTTTATGTTCCTCCAAGTAAAACATGGAAGGGGTTTGGGTGTGACCCATAAATGTTCGTTGTCTCAACAACTAGTGTACATACCATTTTGTCCCAAGAATTGAAACGACGGTTGTACAGGACCAGAGAAGAAACCAAGTACATATATGAAAACGCTTACCCCGATCCTTGAGTTAGTATCAGCTTGGTATTCACTGCTAACAGTCGCTAAAATTAGTGGACTCATAAATCGTATCTACTTGCAAGCAGTTCGCATCCGGTTCACATTGATCTTCTTTGATTTCATAAGTGGCACCTAGCAAAACTCATCGGTAAATCCAATCAATCCTATCACGTATTTTGCAAAACCAGGGAAATCCTTGATTTTGTCATTTCTTTTATGCCATCCGCTAGGGTAAATCTTTGAATCAGGTTGATGTACCGGAATTTCGTCTCGTTATATTTTCTTTAAGACAACCTGAAAGCGGGGCACTCATTTTCAAGGTGTGGTTCTTTCAGATATGCTTATCAGTTGATCGATGCTCTGCTGCCATGCTATTTTCACTCCCTAATTCTTTGCTGACTTTAGAGAATCTGCCTTTCAATGTGACCGCTATCGTTTCATCTGTGACGTTACAACGTGATTCTCTTGCTATCCAACTTAGCCAATTCACTGTATCTAAACCGCTGAGTAGAATACGCAACATAATTGACTTCAAATTATCTTGTTTAAATATTGTTATTATCATCTTAACTTATGACAGAAAAATCTATCGGAATCAATACTGGCCGATCGCACTAGTTAACTGTGTCAATGCATTTTAGTAATTATACAGTTTTTTTGTTACAAATCGTTTCTGATGTCCTGCCCAAGCGCCTGAAAGACTCCACTGATCAGACCTTTACCACGAATCGCCTGCGTATATTATGGTAAGACCTCCACTGACTCGGTGAACGCGTGCTTAATATTACTCGTGCTCTTTTGCTGCACGATATGCGGATTTCACTATGAAGCTCCAATTCCAAAGGATTCGCAAGTACACCTCGAAGTGGATTTACTGGAGCAAAGCGAAGTCATTTAATTTCTACATCATGTTGCATCTCCTCGGGTACAATCATGCAGTCTGAAATTGATCTCATAATCATTTACTCAATGTATGTGTGATTCCCGTGAGGAGTCCTATGACTTCTCTTCATTGCTGAACCCCCCTTAAGTGGACGTGTATATAAAAGCAATTTTAACGCCTTTACTTCTACCCTGGTCCACACTTAGTGTTACGATCATTTAATTTAGGTCCCAGTTAATATTCCATTTTGTGTGAATTTAAAATATTATCTTCAGTGATAGAGTGATTTAACGATTCGGCTGTCCAGATCAACCTTTATCACAATTCGTTACACGTATTATGTAATCCATAATTTGTAAACGTTTGTCTGATGAGAGAGTTACCGAACAATATTTCACTCAGTACTTACCTCTCAACTTCATTCGTGCTTTATGGATACCATAGCCGCTTCGTTGCATAAAGTTGGTCGTTGTATAATGTGTTAGCTTTGCGATACATGCGCCGTGGCTGGTTCGTGCGGTGAGATGATGCATTCACCAAATGATAAAATGGCTTGAGAATAACCTTGTATCCATCGGAGACCGAGAAGTTTGCATATGTCGAAACCGCTGTGTTTCCATTGAGTGCTATTGCCGTTTCTCTTTTGCAGTGTTCCACTACTTGCGGTCCGGGAATTCGATCGGCTACCGTTCCCTGTGAACGCATCACCTTAGACCTTGTATCAAAATCGACGGAGCGGAACCAAATTTCCAACACTCACGTGTATCGAGTGGAACAAACCGTACCGGAAGAGTGCCACAGCAACCTGGGCTACAGTCCACGTATTTTTCTGGCAGAAAACAACCAGACAATCCACGTCGAAACTGCGGAAAGACCATTCGGAGAACAAAGAGGAACTGAGCTAACCCAAATGTTCGCAAACAACGTCGTGCAACTCCCATGCACAAACAAGCCGTGTGCAGTGAGCATTCCAGTGTGGCATACAACCAGTTGGGATGAAGTTAGTGATCGTTACACCAAAAATCGTGTTATGGTTAGGACTGATTTATCTACGCGTTACTAATGACCTATATCCATTCTATAGACTTTTGTAACCTTAATTCATTAATGAGCTGCAGATTTCAGGCGTGGCGGACTCATTGGCTATTCTTCCTGGTGCTAGGTAAACATCCTTCTGTGCTCCTTAATCCAATCTATTAAACCGACCCAGATCGATAAGATAGCTGAACCGCGTATCCGTCGCTATTGTGCCAGACAGCTATCATCTTCTTGTCGGACTCTGTCAACCAACCCGATTGACAGTTTTAGTTCGTCTACCGATATACCTGATCGCAGTTCCTGGGTCGCTCACTACCATTTTGAGCAAATGATGAAGGATATTTTTTAGGTAGAGCAAACCATACAGTCTGATGTGTCCAGTGAACAGTTTGAAAATGGATACATTTTTCTAGTGAATCGCGCTGTATCACAGCCGGCTGCTCGATCATTCTCCTCGTTGTTCGTCCCCCGTGATGCAGTCATTAAAACCACTTAAACACTCGCTCGAAAGTGAAAGGTCGCTATCACCTCCATCGGGCGTATGAAACGCCCGACACTGCCGATTCCCCAACGGGCGAATTGATCATCCGGTGCCATTCGAGATGGGCATTAATTGTCTGACCGAGTGCAGCTATGAGGAATATCTTTCAGAAATCTATCAAAATACTTCATTTCCATCTTCTCTACAGAAAAAGATATTTACCGGTTTAAAAACATAATTTGTCGCTGTTCCTACTGCTCAGGGGATCCGGAAACTATCTGCAGTAAGTTCACTACTGAGTAGAAGGATTTTGGTAAGTAATTGTCTTTCTCGCAATGAGCAAATAAGACAAATAGCCCAATCCGGAAAAACGCTAATGAAGAGTCTTAAAAGGATGAAACGGCCGTCTGGAGCTTTACTAGATTTGTAAATACATCTGGCTTGTAATAAACAAAGTTCTCCAACTGCATCTCCAGTCATAAAGCCTACCGAAGTTGTTTGGGTTGCCCTCTTCCATCCCTACACTCCACGACAGACCTTTTCTTCCTGGTTCGGACTCATCAGGTGTAGATAGCGTGTCGCAGTCCAAGACACACGGTGGGTACTCCAAAACCCGACTGTCGATTTCTACCCGCTGTGTTCAGCTGTGTTCGCGAATCTCAATGGTTTAGTGATTATGGCAATAGCTGCCGACCACAATGTGCCGAATTTCACTCCCAGTTCAGGTTATCTCTACCTAATGAGTTCAAACCAGAAGGAAACCGTCGGTGGTGGAGTGCATGGATGATAAAAACAACACCCACTTTGTTCAGATACGATTCTAGTGATCGGAATGGCACGAGCTGAGTTTAAAGTCAATCGAAGGCACAATTGAGATTGCGTGTCGTAATCCAGAACAAATGGCGGGTACTTCAAAACTCGACTATCTGCTGAGACTGTATTGATGCGATTTACACAAAAAGAACAACGAACTTAGTTTCTCCAGTGTACTACGAATCGGCCACTGTCTATTGTGTAACAACAGGATGAGTGACTAGATGAGTCATTTTGAAGCACTTGTGTGAAAGCAGAGCGACGCGAAATCTAAACGTGGACCGCGATTCACGCTATACTGAACCGTGGTCATCCGATCACCAAGCCGTAACTGAAGCAAATAGCAACTGGATGTTGTCTGGCAGGAAAATACAAGTGCTTCAAAACGATCTTCCAATCAGTCATCAACCGTTGTGGCCAGCGTTGCCAATCGTTACCCGGTAGCAAAGAGTTAGAAGTTACAGCGAATATTTCAATGCTCCAGGATTCTATGCCTGCCGTCTCCACCTGATAGGATCAAATGAGGTCGGAACGTGTCACGAGGTGCAGTGATTTTAGGCGGACAACACACAATTTCCGTCCGAAACAGGACGAGTGCTTCCTTAGCATCTTCTGTATTAAGATGGCGCACTTCTTTCCAAGCCTGACTTGATTCATTCTTCTTAATAAAAGTTTCCACATCCCTAGGTTAGCCGTTACATTAAGCTTCCTCCCTATCTCCACCATTGACTTACAATAGTTAATAAGTGTTGAGGTGTCGGCAGTTCGATGGCATATCGCACAGACCCTTCGATACCACACGGCTACCATCAGTCGCGCGTGGGCTGGGTATACCGCGAGGTTTCCGCATCTACGCGGATACGAACCGGCGGTTTCTGGACTACACTACGCTTTATTGTTACGGCTACCTGACGACAGTTAATTAAACGGAACCTCTCAAAACTTGCCCTAACTTTTCACTATATGAAAGTGATGTTGACCTCGCGAGAACGTTTTAGACACTTTAAAATAGCCATTATTACTTTCTTTTGTTCAGAATCTTAAGATAACTTCTTTCCAACTGTCAAATCATATGATCACATTAAAGTATTATGTTGCCTAGGGTTTACAGGTCTTAAAGCTGGACAAACAAGAAAACTGAGCCCTTTTATCACAGCCACAGTTCGATAACTCACTAAGGGACTCACTTTCTGGACAACTTCGGACACCCATAAGTTGAATATTTTACCAGTCATAAAACACACTGTGGCTGAAAAGAACAATCGGTGAATATCAAATGGTATGCCATACTTGTTTCAAGATATCGCCCAAAGTATGGACACGGAGTAGTTTGTAGCACCAACGCATGCAAGTTTCATAATCGCGGAAACGTCGAAACCTTGGTAGCTGGGGTTTGAAGGGTCTATTTTAAGCTTTCCTGTAATCTTGATCCATACCTCCAGCTTCATAATGAAGAAGAAACAGCACCAGAGAGAATAGTGAATCCCTATCTATTAGATGAACTGACGATGATGGATTTGACCCCTAAAATATCAGTCTCCATGAGCCTACTTGGTTTTATATCCATCGATATATATATATATATATATATATATATATATATATAAAGTCAGGGAAATTGAGCTTACAGGACAGGACTTAGAAGATATGGATATGCTCCCAGGAGAACGACTTCTTGATTTAGATTATGCTGATGATATTGTCCTAAGCTGTGACAGCTCACAAACATGCCAAGCTGCACTGGACACATTAGCACTGACTGTCCGTCACTTCGAGCTTTGCTTCGCACCCTCGAAATGCAAAGCTTTCCTCTAAGATTGGCCTGGACCGCATCCTTCGCTGACCATTGGTATGAATCAGCTAGAAGGCGTTTAAAAATCCAACTACTTGGGAAGTTGTATCAGCGCCCGTGGGACTGAAGATGAGATCACGAACCATACACGAAAAGCTCGAGGAGTTTTGCTAACTTTCGCCACCTATGGTGCCGGCGCGGCATCACTCTCGCCCTGAAGGGTAGTGTACAATGCAGCGGTACGTTTAACCCTACTGTACGGTTTTGAAACCTGGCCCCTTAGATCAGCGGACATAAAGAGGCTAGTTATGTTCGACAACCGGTGCCTTCGCAATTTAGATCAAATCTGGTGGGAATATCGACTTAGCAACCAGCGTGTTCGACGCCTTGTTTACGGCACAAGAAAAGGAAATGAACAGCTCAGCACCGTCATTTCACGCACCAGGCTCCGATGGCTCGTCCACGTTTAACGCATGCACAACGACTCCCGCGACATGCGTTGTTTGCGCGCCGGGGGTGTGGATGGAAGAAGAGGAGGGGGGGGTCAAGCGATGACTTGGTCGATAGGAATAAAACGCCCTCACTTCGAAGCTGGTCTCGGTTGGAGCGCCTCGGGTCCATGGTTGGGATCCGAAAGACGATGAACACGTTTGGCTGGATACACTTGTTGAAATGGCTAGGAGCCGATCTCAGTGGTGTTCGTGTTGTGAGTTTCTTTGTCCCACCCCATACCTCTTAGCCTCCGCCTCCAACCACGATCTCACTATTTAGCCTTATATAATTTTACATAGTAATTTTTGCTGCATAGTAGCCGGCTGTTGGCTTACCGGAACAATGTCAGTCCGTTACCCGTAGCTCAGCCGGCTTGCACCAGTTGCATTTTTTCTCCCTTTTTCTCTTATGCATTGCGGCACAGTAGCTGAGGTGTTTCCCACCTCTAGCTAACGTGTATAATAAATATTGCTGTATATATATATATATTATATATATATATATATAGTGCCTCATGCTGAGGTTGATGTTACACCGGCTTGCACTTACACTTGACTGTCTTAACTTGGATAAAATCATCTAACTTTATTTGATTTGATCAGTACTGTTATTATACTGCATATTCCGTATCAATTTTGCGTGTTCATTTTTCTTCAAATCTCGTGTTGGTTGTTTGATATCTCCAGTGTGGCTGCGCTTTATGTGAATGTTGACACTGTGCTTATCTGGCTTACAATCTGCACCTCGATTACTGGCTCCAGGAGACTGCTAATCTTTGCTTGGGGAACGGGTTACTCGGCTCTCGTGACCGTTCTGGGCTTAAAGAGCGGACTACGGCCCAGCCACCGTCTTGTCTACGTCTGGTACACATGATCTCCAACAAAGATAGCTAGGAATATTGCTGCTGTTAATCTTGAAGAAATGTGGGTCGGTTCAGTTTATAAAATATAGCTCTCATCCGCACGACTCTCGGTCTTATTCCTTCGGGTTAACATTGGATATGGCAGTGTAGTTGGCATTGTGGGTGGTGTAGCGCAAGTCACCTCGGGTCCCTCAGTAGGCGCAGGCGTCCTGTGGTTGTCCTATGGAGGCCGCAGTGACGGGCAACTCCGGAATCGAATGCCACCAACCATATACCTAATAATGATAGAGTGGCGAACATTATAAGAGCTTCTACATCTATTACATTTTGCCTTGGATGTGAAAATGTAGGGTACAACTTTTGGTTGAAGTCGTAATAGTCTGCCTATGGTTACTTATTTTCATTCGGTGAAACGGTCGGTCTCCTTCAATCCTTCGGTGGTTGTTTTAAATGGGTGAGTGTGTCATGCGCGGACTGTGTACTTTTGTAAAATGAACTTTGCAGTTTTCTCTAGGCACATACCATAACTAGTCTAATCTTTGGACGCCAATTTCAGCAGAACGCTGAAAGTGATTGTCTCCAATATGCACTGGATCTACACTGGCAACTGGGAACAATTCGTCACATTTGCCTTTACTTAAATATTGATATCCTGCTAGTGCATTAATCAGATGACTTGTTCCACACAGTTCGTTGCGGATAGCAGCAATAAATGTAACCCAACTCAGATGTTTACCTTTAACTTACTCGCGTTGACAGGATAATAGGAATTGCTTTCACCTTTTAGTACTCAAGCCACGTTGCGGCTTCTCCTTTGCTCTAGTCGTATGGAGTAAGTGACGATCAGTTATCTTGTCTAATAGCACAAATGGACCGTGCTATATACAAAACTGAGATCTGGCCTCAATAGTCCGTTCTAGTCCGTTTCGAGTTTACTTGACCGTCAGCTTCACTTTTAGTGTTGCCGTCGTTGTCTGTTGTACTCAATTATTCCTCCCAGAATTTTACAGCTGTGTGAGTTGAAAACCTTTAGTACCCCTGTAAGAGTATGTCCGATGTGTTTAGTTTTATTAGCCCGTGAGAGTCATTATCATTTAGATCCCAGTTGCAGTCTTGGCATGCCCCCGTTAGTCCGAGGTCATAATCCGAGAGAGAGAATCTTTTCTGAACGCACAATTTTCATTCGTTTGACCGGATCATGACAGTCCCAAACGTTTCTACTAGCTATCTTCAGACTCTTCGATCACACATCAGGTTATCTATCATTTATCTGATGGTCGATCAGCTCGAATCCGTAGGCTTTCACTGGAGTCCGTCAAGGCACTCGGGATCCGGTTTTGCGCACAGGATCTATGCGGTCAGAAGTGGTTCTGTCAGATATAAAGCCTACTTCGACCAAATCGGACTGACTTCTAGTCCAGGGAAAAATGAACAGACTGAACCAGTGACTTAACTGACAGCGGTCATCAGGTACAGCACTTATCCTAATGGATGGTCCCAATTGTTTCACACGCCTAATTGCACAAGACTGAAGCGGAATAATGGAAACTAATCGCTTACACTGACTACTCTCTGAGGTACGTCAAAGGCGAAGCGGTGATGGATATGTACATACCTTGAATTCCAAATTAGTCGGTCTTTGACATAGAACATCAGGCATTCTTTTGCCAAATCCCTTGGTTTGTAATCGAATCGCTTCGACTATCTCGATTGTATGGTACTAGTAATAGACAAATGGATGGATCTAACGGTGATACATGACGTGGCCCCGACTAATTTGTATAAGGTTTCCACATCTTCACCTTTTCCAAACACACAAAATTTTGAATCATCAAACTACGCAGTAAACATTTGAATTGAACCTGTCGTGAAAAGAGGTTGTTTGCTGATAGCTAAACTGTGCAGCCGAAAACAGTTTCCAATCGTTGGTTGGTGAGTACTTTACGGGTTCATTGCTTCTATTCGACAATCTTCTGTAACTGACGTCCAATTTTGCTGTTGCTATCATAATTAGTAGCACCGATTTCAACAGCTAGGCGCGACTTAACGTTGCTTAGTTGTTTTATGGTATAAGAGCTATCTTTTATTAATTAGTCTTCATATAAGTCGGTAGTTTTCTTTTCTTATTCTGTTGTTTTCCTGTAAAGTATTTGCCTTTTCGGTACAGAAATGTTTTCTCTCTGGTCTGGACAGTGACCTGCTTTAACTTTTCTTGGGTCTTTGTGAGCACAGTGCCAATACTGTAGCTTATTTTGAAAACATTTGCTTACTCAGTAATTCTACAACAATTCACATCATTGAACGTACAAGACAGATGACCACGTAACAAAACACTGTTGATCTCCTGCAGTGAACTCCAGACGTCTACTTACCCTGCAGAATCAGCTTTTTCACTGGTGTCGCGGTCAGGCCTGTTTAACTGCATACTTGCTTATTGGTAAGTCTAAACCCAATGCTACCTAACTTTGCATGTTTCTCTCCTTGACTATAGTGTTCAGTTACTTGTGGAGGAGGTGTGCGCCGGAGACAAGTCCTGTGCATGTTGGAGACTCATCACCGGACGACGGACGAAACGAAGGGACGCACAGATTACCATCTTCGTCAGAACACAAACGTCGTCGTGGCCGACCAGATTAAAGCGGAAGTTGCTGATCCTCAGCGATGTCATGATGCAGGATTACCGAGGCCTTCAGATACGGAGACTTGCAACGCATCTCCCTGTCCAGAGTGGATGGCAGACAATTGGGGACCCGTGAGTTTGCGAATCAACAAGACTTCATTTCCAAAATAGCACTTGTTGATGCGTCTGGGACAACCAGCTGCATTCCTATCTAGATCACCGGTTAGACTGTTAACTAATGATTTAGTCAGTAGCTGTTTGAGCACGCGGAGTGGTGTTGGGGACCACAAACGCTCAAGCGCATAGCACGTTCGCTACCAGTTTTTCAGTTTGGTGATCTCAAGTCAGATCGAGTTAAATCATATCTTTTATGCATCAAGAAGGCTGCATCCTCGACATCTTTAAATATCGAATGCAGATACACTAAGACGGTAACATAACAAGTGCCAAAATTAGACAAATGAAAATACTATGCATATAATAAGATATATTCTCAGTTTCACGAGACATGGCCCCTCCAGCATGATCAGGATTTTATAATATTGTTACACCGTTGAAATCACAGCTCGAATACATTAAAATATAGCAAGAGCTGAAACAGATTTTAAAGAGCAAAGGAATACTCAAAGATTCCTTCTAAGTTAAATGGTCATTCGTGGCAACGTTGGCTGTCGACTTGCTTCAACAGCGAGGTATCCCCCTAAAGATCTCACCCGCAATTCCACGCCCATCTGGTAATGTGACTTTGCGGCGTTAAAGCACGCAAGTCATCTTCGTCGAGCATATATTTCCGCGTTACACCGATGACTTTCGTTGGTTCAGCAAGTAAACATGCTAACACGGTAATGTCAAAATATGAAATTACAGTTCGATAGTATAGAAAGAACGCATCCAGCTTTCAACACACCATCGTGTAGCGAGGTACATTGTCATTTCGGACGTTGGTGAGCGACTGGTACAAGGATTGCAGGGCATGATAGTCACGCACTTGTGCATTCTTGTTTTTTTTGCTCTTACTCATCCACATTTTGTCGCACACCACTGGATCAATACTTATTCATCTTGATTTTACTCGAGAACAATACCAGTGAATCCTACATGTACTTGAATTATACATTTTGGGTAACGTTTCACCGATATCTGTGCGCAAAATGTGCGTACGTACAACCGTCAGAAACATATTTTGGTCAGTTGATACAGCATTTCTACTGTGTGCGAACAAACTATCATTCCGTGAGTCCGGGGTTCGATTACCCGTCGAGGCAGATTATTATGCGAAGTTTAATCGTGGCTTCTACTTTCTACGTAACTCTAATTCGTCCAACTCCAGCAGTGTGTGGAGCAGCTGCATTTCGCCGAAGCGAACCCATATCAGTCTCGAAAAATTCACTTTGAGGAACCCATAGGCTCAGCCACAAAATTCATCTATGAAATCCTGGTGTGATTCGCTTCACCGGCACGCTAGATGTGAGTCAGTACAGTCAGTCACAGTCAGTCAGTCATACAACAACGATGTGCACTGTGTGACCTTGCTGTCAACACGAGAACAACTGTTGACCATCGAGAATGGGTCACAGAATGGTTCACAGCATCCGCTCAATGTACGCGATGCTTAGAATGCCTCAGTCTAAAGAAGTACGTGGATCGTGTGCCAACTTGTCAAACTGGGCATTACGTATCGCAACTTTTGCAATTTTTTCCAATCAAAATCTGCCAGCGTGAAATCTATTCAGCTACATTGTTAAACTAAGCAGATTATCCATGGTTCTGTGTGGTTCCTATTATCTCAGATGTACAACCAACTATTAACCAACATTTTTGAAAATGGAGAATACCGAAATCATAGCGGACTGTGCAACCCAGGCCTCCCTAGCAAGTGCTGCCTAAACCCTGAGGAAAACGGCTAATAACACCATACACAAAGCGACACCAATAGCACAGCAATTCAACTGCTGTTCCAAAACCACAAGAGGCTCACATCCTACTAATACGGTTCTCAGCTCGATCAGAGCAACTACACGCAAGGCTTTGTTTAATCTTCCGACTTAGTGCCCATCAAATGTTGTGTTACGGTTGCTTCCAAGAAGGTCCGACCTTTAAAATTAGCGGCAACCCCACTTGATCAGAAAGTAAGAAGCTAAACAGAGTTCTGCTGGTGCAAACACCACCGGCTACCTGCGGTACATCACTGAGTATTTCAATCACTACCAGTGACAGGTAGAAAAATGTTAAGGAACCACAATCTGTACTGAGCGTACTGTGATCCAATGTCCCAAGATCAAAGTCGATCAAAATCAGAGGAAGGCACTTAGACAGCATCATCCAGTGAGGCGTCATTAGTAACCTACTCAACGCTGTATTTAAACCCGTACATTTAGTGCGGATCACGCGGCAACCCAACTCTAAGCATTAACGGGGGGGGGCAAGACTTCTGCGCGTTATGCTATGCGCTATCACTAAAGTAGCATCAGTTCTGCAGTTGGCAGGTCTACCCAGCAATAAATAATGCTCTATCCGTGTCTTTCCAAATATCCCATGAGGCGAGTGTGGTGGAAGTAACCGCAGCTTAGAAGGCCACTGGAAAGAAACTTCAGCAAGAACTATACTTGTCTATGTCGTTCTTGAAACTGAAGCATGCAATGAGCATGAAATAACAACTCTTGATAAGGAACAATGGTGATATCTTCGTATTGCATTCTCCTTGGATGACGTGCTAGCAAAATCGGTCTCACGGCTACGCACCTCACCGAACTATAGCAGATGGGGCGCTATGAGCTTTGAAGGTAGTCCAACAGTCGAAACATATGTTTGCACGGCTACTGAAGAGCTGGCGCATGTTTCGTTTCATGTTGCCATCTGAGCTTTGGCTGAAGACATTCAACAAAATCCTCCTCAGAAATGACATGTTACCAAAGAACGAAATGCGATTAAAAGTATACTAGAACACATTGCACAGTAGTGTGTCTGATGAGCCCAAAAAACCTTTTGATGAAGTGAATTACCAGTGCATTGCGCTGTAAGTAGATTAGTTTTGTGATTAAGTAAGCAGCAGATGAATCTGGCGTCGAACCATTCGTCAAGTACTTACCGAAAAAGTATTAATCCCCGGCCACTCACTGGTCGGCGAAATATCACGTATGAATGGCACAATCTCCAACACACTACTGAAATCTGCGAAAATTTCTTGTACGCATACTAACATCTACGGGCCCCTCAGTAAACTTATAGAAGTTCGCCTACGTCAGGTGGCGAATGCTTTGAACCAAATATCCATTACGGAAACCTGGCTGCATCGGAAAGTTTCTGATGCTGAGGTCCAGATAGCAAGGATGTCGCTCATCCGCAAAGACGGTCCCTTAAGTGGAGGTGGTGTTCTTTTGTACTGCAGCGATGATCTGCAATGTACAGTAATTGTTGATACTGACTCACTCTGGTGCCGTCTCTGACTAAGACACAACACCGCATGTCTGGTAGCTGTCGTTTACCGTGCCCCAACGTCCACTCCGGAAATGGATTCCCGCTTGATACGTGCCTTGAACAGGGTAACACGCTATAGATACAGCCAAATTCTCATCGTCAGTGACTTCAACGTGCACGATTTGCAGATATCGGCATCTCCCAATAAACAGCTAAAAGCAGCATTTTCGAAAAACTGGTAGCTCGGGTTGATAATGCAGTTGCTCATTTGTTCGCCGAGCTGGGAAATTTGTTTGAAAACGTTTCACCGCCATGCGAGGCGGTATCATCAGTGCGTCGAGATATGGAGTGGATCGAGAATTCAATCAGCGAGATTACACTCCACATCTCGATGCACTGATGATGCCGCCTCGCCTGGCGGTGAAACGTTTCCAAACAAATTTCCCAGCTCGGCGAACAAATGAGCAACTACGAAAGCATGAACCCATGGCTATTATTCACTTATAAAATCAAGTCACCTCGCCCGCAACATTCTGGACAGTAAACTAACCATCCGTAGTTGACCTTGTGTTCGCAAATGAGAAGTCCGTGGCCAAGTTATTGATGGAGTATCAATTAACTCTCAGAGACCATGTAGTTCTAACATTTAACAGTGTTTGCCATGCACAGTATCTATCTGAACAACTGAAATTGACTCATACAGTCACATGCTACCACGTCCTGAACGAATTCCTCGAGATATTCGCTTGAGAACTCTCGGACAACAGTCCCCTTTACGACGTTTGGACATAGTCCGTTGCAAATCTCAGTGACATGGTCAAAAGAGCATGGGAAACCAAGCCACTTCATTCTGCAAACGTTCCGTCAATTTCCAGAGTCAGGAATCGGAAATGCACGGCAATACTGGATACAGCATAGCATGCCTACAAAACTAAATTTAATCCAGAGTATTTGAATAACTTCCTGACCCTCCCCCCGAAACCATTTGAGTACACTTGTCCGTGAGCATAAAGTTACCCATCAACAGTTTCTAGCCGAAACTTTTCTGGAAAACAGAATACTGGTGTAGATCCATGGCAACAGCCTACGTGAAGTAAAGCATGACCACCATCCAGTTTACACAACAGACGGCAGGGTACAAAGCGCTGACGAAGAAGCCAATGCACTTCGGCTACAGTACGCCCCAAATTTCGAGCCCGCAGCCTGTCCCTATGACATACCGTCATTCACTTTACCGTCTCCACGGTTCAGGCATTTAACTTTCAACACAGCAAATTTGCTAAGGAAGTTGTTGTCATTGCGCGATCATAGCTTTCCATAAACCAGCAACATTCGCCCGAAAGCACTAAAGGATGCAGCCACTAAGCTGGCCGAGCCCTTGTCAGTTCATTCCAAGCCACTTCCATGAACAACAAGTCCATGTTATGTTGGTGCATGGCATTATTACCCAAATTTTTAAAGGGATAGCTGTTCAGACCCTGAAAACTATTATATAGTGAGTCTCCTCCATGTTCTGTACAATTTGATGGAAGTGGTTGTCGCAGTGTCTATGGTGGAATATCTTGGAAATGCAACGTCTTGGTACCAGAGCAGCATGGTTTCCGTCAACAACAGTCACGCATCAGCAACCTGCTGATGATACGAGGTAATTTGACGGAAGTGGCTGATAGTGAGATCGGAGTCAGCCTCATCTATCTGGATTTCTCTAAAGCATT